AGTAAGAAAACATTCACAATCCTTACTTCTATAAATTAGTCATCATGTTTCAAAGAATTATTTGAGATTTCGTTTGGGTTTGGGTTTATACTCGTAACTGAACCGAGAAGAAACCAAAACCCGAAAAACCAAACCGATGGGTTTGAATTGGGGTCGGTTTTGATTATATGAAAATCAATGATGTCGGTTTTGGGTTCGGTTTAGGTCAAAATTGACCCATGCACAACCCTCACGTCTAGAGATGATCCTTTGTGGAAGGAAGCCATAAATGATGAAATGGACTCAATTATAAGTAATGAAACTTGGTAGTTAGCTGATATACCCAATGGGAGAAGACCCATAGGATCAAAATAGATATTCAAGAGAAAATATCATCCAAATGGATCCATATATGCCTATAAAGCAAGATTAGTTGCTAAAGGCTACAGGCAACGAGAAGGGATCGATTATTTTGATACCTATGTCCCAGTAGCTAGGATAAGTTCTATTAGAACTCTCATAGCAATATCAGCTTTGAAAGTATTGTACATTCATCAAATGGATGTGAAGACATCCTCTCCGAATGGTCATCTAAAGGAGGAGATTTACTTGGTGCAACCTGAAGGTTTCGTGATACCTTGAAAGAAAAAAAAGTTTGTAGACTTGTTAAATCCTTGTACGGGTTGAAGCAAGCTCCTAAACAGTGGCATGAGAGATTTGACACCACTATGACTTCTTTTGGTTTTCTGCATAATAGTGTTGATAGGTGTATTTAATCCAAATACACATCTAATTACATAGTTGTTATATGTCTTTATGTTGATCATTGGCACTCACCTAGAAGGTGTTCTTGAGACGAAGAAATACCTATCCTCAAACTTTAAGATGAAAGATCTTGGTGAAGTTGATACAATTATTGGTATCAAGGTGAAGAGGACAGGCAGTCAGATTTCTCTGAGTCAATCTCATTACATAGAGAAAATTCTGAAATTTTTTTAACATTTGAATATTAAGGAATTCAACAATCCTTTTGATTGAAGTGTGAAACTAAATGTGAATTTTGGGAGAGAAGCGACTCAACTAGAATATACAAGTGTAATTGGAAGTATGGTGTGTGCTACTCATTGTACTCGACCTGACATCGCATTTGCTGTAAGCAAACTAAGTCAGTATACTGTCAATCTAGGGACGGAGCACTGGAAGGCAGTGGGTAGAGTACTGGGATACCTAAAAAGGACAAGTACTTTTCAGTTGACTTATTTGTCATCTAACAGAATACTATAAGCTTATTCTGATGCTAGCTGGATAGATCACACTAGTGATTCAACATCTACAAATGGTTGGATTTAAACTGTAGTTGGTGGTGCTATTCTTGGGAGAGCAAGAAACAGACATGCATAGATCATTCTGTTGGATTAGGTGTCTAAGCCCATAACTATAACTGGTATGTACTTGACCCGATAGTAGCATGGTCC